AATGGTAGAAGGGGATTAAGGGAAGGCATGGGGACCGGCAGGGAAGTGGACGAAAGAGGACAGTCATCTTAAATAGAAAGAAAAAAATACAAGAGGAAGAAGCTGAAGAAAACAGAAGGGAGACTGCTACTGGCAATAAACTTAGAAAGAGAAAGTAATTCCCCATGAGGGAGGCACACCTACATCTCTTAAGACACCCAGGGCAATAGATCTTTTAGCTAAACAGACTGAGGAAGCATGAGGAAGAGAGAAGATGGTGCCGACAGAACGCTGTGGGAGTGTGGGCAGCAATGAGGCTGGGAACTAGGGGTCTTGGCTTCTCATCTGTGCATTATCTGCAAACTGGCAGGTGACCACTAGGTCTTCTCATGAACCAAGATCTCAGACACCCCACTACAAACAAGGAAGTTGGAATAAATAGCATCTAATACCCTAATGTCTTGTAAATCTTTTACTATCTTTGCAGAATAAGAAGATAGGGAGACAAGGGTGGAAATGACCCAGAGCTAGCTGAGATGAGATGTGGAAGGAGAAGAAAAGCACTCATTCCATCTATCCAGTCTCTGATGGGCAAAGCCAGAGTTGGGCCAATGGGGACTGGTTCTGTGATGTCAAAAAACTCTGGCCTCACTCCTAACAAGTCACCACCAACTCAATTTCTCAGCTAGAGTATTAAAAAAAAAAAAAAAAAAAAAAAGATTCATCTATAAAATAATATCTGCTTGAAAAGGTTGTTATGAAAATAAAGCAAGTGCATATTCATGAAATACTTAGAGCAGAGTAAGTCCTCTGCACTGGTAAAATAAAACACATAACTTCCTGCTATTTATTAATTACATCTCAACAGAAATGCTGTCATCAACCTTTCTTCCAAAAGCAAGTTTGGGTCATTGGAAAAGGTGAGAGGAAGAGAAAGAAGGAAAAAAATATATGAGACTGGGGGAAGGAGTCAATCAGAAATGCAGACTCCAAGAGAGTATCTGGTGCCTGACAAGTGCCTACATACAACGGATACACTAATGGACAGACAGATGGAACCGAGATGGGTAGTGATGCGGTGAGGAGAAGGCAGACCGGGGAAAATTTCACATTCTTTACAATTTGGGGAGGGATGATCTAGTCTACCTGGAAGGTCCTACAAATCAGTTTTATTCCCATCGAGAAATAAAATCCAATTCTCCACAGCAAAATAACCTCTGAAAAAAGCCACCTGAGCAAATGGCCATAGACCCAGAGATCTACCTCTTCTCCTTCTACCCCACCCAGGCCCCCACCCCAATCAGAGGCCAAACCCTTCCTTGGGGCCTAAGAAAAAAAAGGAACTTTAAGCCTGCACTAGACCACCTTTAAAGTTGTGTTGACCCTGGTGCACTGTGCCTATGAGTGGATGCTGTCCGTCTTTTCTGGCCAAGTGCTGGGAATTTGCTCTTGAATCAGCTCCTTGCTCTTGCTTATGCACACCTGGGGCAGAGACCACCCTGTGTCTCTCTTCAGGAATATCACTATAGATAGTCCCAAGTCCTGACTTCATTTCCTTCCTCATCACAGGAATGACATGCGGGCTCCATCCCTCAGAGCAGAACCCTCTAGAAACAAGTTCAACTCAGCTAGTGGGCACAGTCAGGCTGTTTCCTAGGCTGGGTGCAGACATTACATGTCTGTTGTGATGCATACACATCATATCAAAATTTATACATGTAGATGTTGTATGTGGTCCTTATGCTGTGAGACTTTGGGGCTTCCCTGAAAGTGGAAATAAGTGAAAGGGACCCTGAATCTGCATATATAGATAGAAGGCACCTAGCAAACTCCAATTCCCCTGCTGCTCCAACAGAAATGACTCAAGATATAGACCCCAACTCCACAGCCCAGCTGCCATGGGAGCCTGGGGGACATCTCCATGACTAACTGTCCTCAGTGGTGCTACCAAGTCTCTGAGTCTCCAAACTACATGGATGTTTTCACACTTTTTAGAATATTTTTTAAAACACCTAAGAAACATACTGCAGATCTGGGAAAGATTCCCCAAAAGGAAAGAATAAATCAAAGAGAAGGCCACCTTGGATGTGAAAACTTGATGAGGCTATTAGGGTAACATGTAGGAAGAGGACTGAACATATGCATGGAAAATGCATGAAGGAAATGGATCAGGGGAACGTGGACTTGCTCATGAAATTCCAAAACACCAGGACCTGGGAAAACCCTGGAAGCCAGAAAAACAAATCATGACCCCTGCAATTGAAGTCCCATCAACACTTACAGAATGCCTGGCCCAGGAGAGCAGTGCAGGCTGCCACAGACAGAGGGACAAGGCAAGGGTAGATCATCCCAAAGGTGTTACCAAAGGGGCAGGTCTGGGACAGAGGCAGAGTGCCAGGCTGGTGCTGAGACTCTGACAATAGGTCTGCCATTTTCCTTCTGGTCAGCTCTGGACATGAGCAAAAGTAAATCTAGAGGAGCTACAAGCAGGAGAGCAGGAAGAGAAAGAGAACTTCACCTTCCATACGACCCAGAACTGAGCCAGTTCCTCCTGGAAAAAAACAGGTTAATGCATGGCTTCCATCCTCTACAGCCCAGGCCTGGGCCACCTCTGGAGTGCAAATACTGACCACCCACTTACATTCCAGCACAGACAATTGGTAACTTTTCACACTCCAGATGCCATTATGAGCTCTCTCCATGCTCCCACGGAATCTTAGGTCTGGTGCTTCCTCAGATCTCCCTCCCTGTATGCAACAGGGATATTCCTGAAAAGCAGTGTAAACTGGATTTCCATACAGCAGGACCCACTTCCTATCTTCAATCAGGAGACCCGAGTGTACACAATTAGGCACCCAATGTCTGTAGTTGGGATTTCAAAGGGATCAAAAGTTCTCACGTGGAAGGGAGCATCCTCTCTCCTGCCCTAGAGAGTCCTCAGCAGACACCTGTTAGCCAACCGATTCTAATTTTCTTTAACCAGCCTCCCCTAAGCTAGAGTTGAGAACTACTTCCTTGTAGCTTTTCTCTTCTCTACCAAAGTCCTTTCACTGAGTAGTTAATGACCTGTAAACACTTAATGAGCTAGAGAAACAGTCCATGCAAAGGCAGACGACTGTGGATCCTTTTCTAAGATGAAGAAAACTCTTCTCTAAGTGAAACATCACCTTTTAACTGCTCTGTTTGATAAATTCAGATTTTTCAGAATATGAATAACTACCTATTTAAGTATAGATAAATTGTCTTCAAGTCGATCTCCAAAAACTAGCCCTCAGCTTAGCAGGCCAGCGAGGTATCAGAGAGCTTTAAAGTCTAGGCTCAAACCCCAGCTCTTGAATTGAATTCAAATGTCCCAGGTAGGCACATTCATGGCCTGTACCATCAGAAATGGGCTGGAAACTCAATCAGCACTCACCAGTCACCTCCGTCACTGCCACATCCTGTAATAGTGATGATAATGACCATTATGATGATGATCATAATAATAACAGCTTCCACGGATGGCACTTTGCAGCTTATAGAGCAATTTAACAACCTTTACTTCCTTTGAAGCCCTTCAAGACCAATCTTCTTCTACTCTCTCCCCTTTCTCTGAGCTACCATCTTACTGTCAGCACACATTTTCCCCCCAAAGGACTCTGGCCTCTTTTTGTCCATTTCTCTCTTTACTGATAATAGGGCAATGCTCTAGTAGAGAAATGATCAAAAGGAAGTTGTGCATTGTCCTAAAGGAAACCAATTTCCTTTACAGTACAGGAGAGGCCCAGGTGATAGAAAGGGAACCCTGGACCTGCCACCCCCTCATCCAAAGGCCACCAGGAGAACCCACAATGATGTGGGTGTCACAGAGATTGCTGTGCACAGAACCCAGTAGACCCAAGGAAGCAAAGGACTGAGGGAGCCATGGGGCCAACCCTAGAGAGTTGGGTCTGGTTCCCTTGGGGAAGGACATTATTCAGGGCTGGCATGAGTCCAAAGTCTGGGAAGGTGGGGAAAGGGGATTGGGTCACTTTTCAAGCAAGAGGGCCTCTGGGGAGAAGGGTGTGTGGCTCCTGGAGGGGACACCACAGCCCTGGGCAGAGAGGTGGTGAGTGCTGATAATGCCCACAGTGATAAGCAGAGAGCCCCAGCAGAAGAGGCCCTGGACATTACAGGCTGGGCACAGCCTCAGGGACAGCTCTCAGGACCTGCAGCAGTGTGCTCTGAGAACTCCTCCCCACCAGTGACCCCTATCAGTGCCAAACAAGCACACAAGATGCACGCCCAGGCTGGGCTGAACAGAGGGGTCCCTACAAGGTTGCAGGGCGTGCCCTGAGGAGGTGGGAGGTCACAGCCTCCAAACATTGCATCATCCTGGTACCAGGAAGGCAACCGACTGCCCCATACCCACTTCCTCTCCTAGAAGTGGCCTGGCACATTCATCATCTAGCCACCTCTGGCACTTGGCATTTCTTTTTCAAGTTTCAGCAGCAAATAGGTTAAGGGTGTTGAACATAACTGAGGAGTGATCTGTTCTCTCCATCTACTCACCAGCAGCTAAGATCAGCAAAGAGAGGGGAGCAGGGAACTGAGGGGAAGAGGCTAGAAGCCAGTGGGGGAATCTGCAGGTCCAGGATTGTTAGGACTCACCCCGTTGTTGGCCAGACTGCCGATTCTCCAAGCAGGCTACAGCCTTTGCTGCTTAGGAAAGCTTCTTAAATTTCTGTACTAATATGTATGTTCCTCATACATGTGTTCAAATCACCTATAATCCTTGGTCAAACTCAGATGACTGTCCAACTCACCCAGAGTCACACCTCTTCACTGGAATGGGAAGAACTAGGGTGGATGAGAGGCAAGGCCGGGGTCTCTTCCCATTTTCCCTTCCCCTGACTCTATCCACACACAGGCATTCAAAGGAAAGAATACAACAACTGCAGCCCAGCTATTTTTGCCTTTTCTGGAAAATGATCCTCTGATGTGTCCCTTGGTGCTCAGATTTCTAGGACTATCATTATCTTCTCCCATCTTTCAGGTCCAAGCCCGTGAGCTAGAGAATAATGGCCACAGAGCCTGGGCAGGCCAGGTGGAACACAGCTCAGCCATGCATCAGGTGAGTAGACAGCATCCAGGGCCCAGGGGCACCCAGGTGTTCCCCTACCACACATCTGACCCACTGTGTTAGAGACTGAAGTCAGAAGACCCTCATGCCTCCTTCAGGAGCCCTGCCCTATAAAGAACCATATATTTTGTGTCACCTAGCAGTGATTATTTATCTGCACATTTCTTCCCAGAGACAAGAAAGAAACTAGCCCCATTTTATAGATTGGAGCATGAGCCTCACCCAAGGCCACCTGGGCTGGCAGGTCAAAACTCAGGGGTACCCAGCTTCAGAGCCCAAACTCCTTCAAGTCCTGCCTTTCTGAAGACAAGGTTTGCCACAGGCCAAGGCTGGCAAAGAGACCCTTCCAACAGCTCTGCCCCTCCCCATCAGCCCCAGGGAACACGAGCCCCCCAGGTCCAAAGGGGCAACGGTGGGGCCACAACCTGGTGCGGAGGGAACATGTTTTGAAGCTGGTTGACACTCTGCCCTCTCGGTTCTGTCTTCTCCTCCTTCCAACCCATAAGCAGCAGACTTCCAGACAAGCAGCTCCAGCAACTGGCAGGCCTAAGGCAGGACCAAGATTCAAGAGAACTGGCGCCAATCTGCCTCCTCCCAGGGCAGGCCAGCCTGGGCGAGCCCCTCCAGCCAAGGCACCTACCCCACTGCCAGGCTGTTTACTTGAGCTGGCTTTTGTCTCTGGTCCGCCCTGCTGCAGCTCCCTGCCCTCCTTCGCCTGCTTTCAGTCCTCTGCCCAGGCCTGCCTTAGGCTGCTTGCCAGAGAGATTGCATGTCAGGGCTATGCCCCAGGCACTGAGGGCTGCCAGGGTCCTGCTGCTGTGCCCTGGACTGTAAACCTAGAGGCCTGGCTCAGTCAGGGGGCAGCTCATAGGGAGCACAAGGGCTTTGTGTTAGAGAAGTGGCCCTGGGGTATGAAAGTCCCCAAGTCCAGCCTGGGCAGAGAGCAGGTAGGGGGCAGGTGAGGTTCCCTGAGACCAGTTCCCCTAGACCTTGCTGCCTCTGACTCCTCCGCCCCATGAACCACACCTCTGGGCTGACAGATAAGCTGGCAGAGCAGGACATGCAGTGGCTGGTGGCCTGGCCAGCACAATCCCCTTGGCAGGACTGGGTATTAGAGTGGGCACCCATGCAAGGGCCATAGAAGGGGGATGAGGCCCTGTGACTATGGGGGCAAGAGGCAGGGACAAGGTATAGCAGGGGATGAACCAGACACCCCATACTTCCCAACCCCTCAGAAGGAAGTCTAGAGCCTGGCTGGTGGCTACTACCTACAGAGATAGCACCTGCAGTCACTCAAGGTGTAAGACTGATGGCCTTGAACAGCAAACCTAGAGCTCAGAGTTGGGACACACTGCTTCAAGCCTTAGCGTGTCAGTTGGCTAAATACCCAGACTCCCACGCTGGGCAGATTAACTGGACACTTCATCTACTGCCACTTCCTGGTTATGGACTCTGAGCAATTCTTGAACCTCTCTGAGCCTCAATTTCTTCATCAGTCAAAAATGCATAACCCTATTGTGTTACCAGGCCCCTGTGGTTGCCATGGAGTGGATTTGAAGCATTCAGCCCTGTATCCACTTGAACTCAGGAACCTAGCTGAGTAGGCTCACAGGCACTCTGGTCATCCATCCTATATGTAGTATGGGGAAAATGGGAACTCCTCACCCAGTTCCTGGCTCACTTATTCCACAGCAGGCATCTCCAACTGCCCCACAAGTCCCTCCCAAATGAGATGCTTATGAACCATCTTCCCAAACAAGAGCTAGTTCTGAAAAGCGGTCAGTAGATACCCAACATTGCACTTAACTTCCACCATCATTTCAGAAACACTATCTTCATCCTGCCCGGTAGTCAGTGAAAGCCAATTTCATTCATTTACTTCAAACATGTGTTATTAATTGCTGGGAGAACAACATGGCAGGAGCCTTGCTGCTTGCCCTTGAGGAGCTCACAGTCTGGGCTCCGTCTTCCCCGATCTATAAATATGCATGTGAGTGTCCCAGGGAGCCATGAGTCCGTTAGGGAATTGAAGGATACCTCTGTAATTTGATTAATCACTTCCAGACAGTTTACCTGCTTTATATGTTCTCTTTCAAGTGCTCACCTGATACAGGCCTTCCAAAACTGTGACCATGCTCTGCTACAGCAACGTACTCGTCTCACATAAAAATTGAAGAAGAAGAACAGGAAGACACATTCTGAGAAGTTATCTTGGCCTCTCTGCCATCCAGAATGACTTCTTATTCCAATTATTTTTCTAGTGAAGGATGGAACAAAGTAATATTATGCTTCTTTCTACTTGTGTTGCCCTGGGTGAAATCGCAGGCTAACAGACCTTCAGGAGGGAAAGACCAGACTGAAAATAGAGCTCACACTGCAGAGAAGCTAGGCCACCACAAGTCCTGGAAATCTGACAGCTTTGCGCGTTTATAACAACGCAACTCAAGACTATCAGAATTATAAATATTTGTACAGACACTTATCTAAGCAACAATCAGAGATCAGGTCCCTCCACAAGTACTGATGGGCTCACAGTTTATTGTCCTGATTTGTAAAAGTCGGCAGAATGAAACGATGCACAACAGATTTGCTGAGCTCCGAAGCCAGAGAGTAGGTAAATAGTGCAATTGCATGGACTCCCTCCTTGGCTCTCGGAGCAAACGGAAAAATAAACCATCGGAAAAAGTCTCAGCCTAATAAAATTACACAGGCAGAGTAACTTCTTCGTGGAACTCTGGGGAGTAGCACAGTGGCTGTGCCAGCGCGTATGTGAGCTCTGCCAACACATGCTCTGTGCGCGGCGCCCTGGGTCTCAAGCCCTGCTCCGAATTTTCCCACTGGCTTCCTCTCTTTCTCCTCCTACAACAAAAATGATTCTTCACACCCAATCCTGTGCTCTCTTTTATGAAAATAGGAGTGTCAAGAAATACCCATTTAAAGAGTTATCTAACATGGCATTCTTTAATGTTCTAATGTTCTTTTGCTACAGCAATAAAACTTTGTTTTCAATCTTCATCATCAGATAAACAAATTTGGCTCTGATTGTGGCAACACAGTGGTCGATAGACATAAATTCCAGTCCTGTCACTCAGAAGCCAAGTGACCAGGACAAAGGCCTTATTCTGGGAAGGTGGGGGTGTCAAGTTTCACAAAGGTGAATGAGACTGGAAAGGGGTAAGAAACAGAAAGAATACAACCGTGAGGCTTCTTGCTTCCTCTTTCCAACAACCTACCTGTCTTCTAGTGCCTAGGCCTATCTAGGGTGGATGGCGACTGGCTTGGAGCAAAACCAATGCATCTTTCCTCTTAATGCACATGGAATATGTTTAAAGTGAGGCTCAAAGTCTGTTGAGAAGGTACTCACGGGGAGGTGCAGCGCCAGCCCTCACTGCACTTGCCTTGGCATTGGAGGCAAGGGAGGAAGCCACCTCCTCCAAACCTGGACCCTCCCAGTCCCATATCACCCCTGATGGTGCTGCCCCCATTCCAAAACCTCAGCAGTCTCCAAACAGCTGGGGGCGGGAGGGGGACACTAAGTCCAACCAGGAGACCAAAGACAGACTTAAGGGGCAGCTGCAAAGGAACCTCACTTCCCCAGGGATTCTGACTTCTTGTTAAAATCCTCACTCACGCCGCCCACCGCAGCCTGGGCAGGCATTCCAAGAACCAGGCCCCTCCCAGGGGGACAGCTAGCTCTTCCTCCTCTAAGCACTCTTACAGTTTTCTCTGTACCCTCTCCTGCATCTATTCCCGGGACAGGCATACAGTCCTACTTATGGGTCAGCCTGCTATGCACTGCCCAATTCTGTGAGAAAAATCTGGAGAGCTAGGGCCTGAGCTCCAACCAAGTTCCCAACACTAGCAGCAGTTTCAGGGTTTACAAAGCTTTAGTGGATTCCACACCCAGCAGTTCCTACCAGCACAGCCAGCCTTCTTCAAACACCCAGATGGCCCTTGTTCACCCTCTGGAAACCTATAGCTCCTGCCAGGAAAATGTGACACCTTGTGAGGACTAACATAACCTGTCTCGAAGATCTGGGAGACAAGATGCAAACCCAATGCCCACTGACCGAGACAATGTTCTGGATCTTTTGTCAGAGTTTAAGTACTTTTTATATAATTTTTGCAATTAAACTAGTTTGCATCCATCTAAATCTTTTGCAAATTGAAGAAAGGCTGCTTTATTGATTCTTTTAAAAAAAAAAAAAGAAGTAGAAGAAGAAGCAAGGAAAGAAGGAGGAAGACAGGGAAGGAGAGAAAGACACTGAGCGTTTTAAGTTCCAATCAGACCAAATCCCACATTTTCCCAATACCTGCTGAAAGCATTCGTAGCTTTGGGCAGCAGTCTGAGAACTCTGGAAAGTATCATCCAGCCTACATTGCCCTGTGCCCAGGACCCTGGTCTCCTTTTGGTCTCACACTTGCCTGGCAGGACTCCCCACACAAAATACAAGTGCTCCGCTGAGATCAGGACAAGAGAACAGGGCCCAGAGCTCACACCACACGTGTGTTTCCCCGTACATGTGTGCAGAAGCAATTGCAATGAAGATGCACCATCTTCAGATCTGTCTGGATCCGCCTTTCCCTTTCTAAATCACTGTGGGCCCTCACCCAGCCAAGCCACCCACTACAAAGGCAGAGGAGGACAGGAATCTGAACACCAGGATATTACACACACTTGAAGTTGCCAGCCTGCTCTCCCAAGAAGGAAGGAATAAAAAAAAAAAAAAATGGTGACCTCGGACTACCTGTGGTTTCTAGGTTTATACTAATGTTCCTCTTGAAATTGGAGCTCAGCATCCTGGAACCCAGGAAGCATGTATCTGCTGAAATGACCAACTGGGTCGGCCTCCCCCAAACTCTCCTATTGAAAGAGTCCTTGCTCAGCATTTCAACAAGACGGGAAAAAGCTCAAGAAACAGGTACTGCTTCTCACCTGGAAAGGTAGCTGATGTACTTACTGAGAGGCTTCTCCAAGTTAGCACTGGTGCTTAGGGACTACAGTGATCAAATCTTGAAATTATACAGAGAGGCTGAATGTCAGAGGTACATTTCTGTTTCCCCAAACCCTAAAAAGACCAAATTAAGTCTTATAACCAGCCTCCCCTCCCAGGGAGCACCCCACAAGCTTCCCCACTCCAAACAGCTAAAACGGCTATTTTATCAAAACTCAGCCTTCTGCTGGAATCCAAATCCACCCCTGCAGCTGTGTGAGACGACATGCCACTGAGCCTCTCTGGGCTTCAGATTTCACCTTCTCCTGCTTCTGCAGAAGGCAGCTCAGGAGGTGAGGTTCAAATATGACAATGCTCATCAAAGAGCTTAGTCAAGACCTATAAAACAACACTGTGATTTTATCTCTGGTGTTCATTACTAACAGCACAATGGACATTTGAAAGGGATGGGCCCAGTTTTTCATAAACAAACAAAAAAAAAAGTTAGAGGGTTGGAGAGGAGGCAAGGAGCAGATATTCAGAAATTGCTTTAAGGTTGTTCTTTAAGAGCTTCATGCTTCCAGATTCTTCCAAATGCCTGCTGCAGTAATAACAGCCCCAATAGAACACAGCACTTTGTCAGGACTTGTAGGTGAAATGTGCTGGAGCAGCTGTCAGCGTGGGGAAAATCACTCATCAGCTAGTCACCAGGTGGGGCTGCTTTCAGCTGGACACACACTGCATTTGAACGGGGAGCCCCAGCTTCCCAGTGCCTCCAGGGAAGCCAACCCAGCCCTCCTTTACCTTCCCATCTTACCTTGTGGGCCCCCTGCCCATGCTCCCTCCCTCCCTCAGCTCTTGTTCAGGGGACAGACAGGCCCCTAGACCACCAAGGCAAGAAGAGCGTTAGGAAATCAGGATCCCGTGCCCAACTCTCCCCACTTCCCAGGGGCAGGCGACACAAACTAGGCACTCTGTAATGAGAGTGGGGTTTAACACACCCCCTACACATATGTGAATCTATATATATATATATATATTTTTTTTTTTTTTTTTGTCGGTACTAGGAATTGAACCCAGGGCTTGGCACACACTAGGCAAGCGCTCTGCCATTGAACTGCATCCCCACCCATCCTTCATGGCTGACTCCTACACAGGGAGGGCCATGTCTACCTAAGGGAGGGGGCAAATACCGCCCACCCCCAAAAACAATGGTGGGCTGAAAATTTGCAATCAATAAACACCCAGGAACAACAGCAGACTCACCTGGTTTATCTACCAGACACTGTGGGGGTGGCAAAGTAGCATTTGGCAAATAACCCAAATTGGGTTCTGCAGGGTATGGAACACCATACTAGGCTTTGTCACCACCGGTGACACCAGGTGGTGTGAGAAGACAATGAATTACTTCTAGGCAAAGGATCTGTTGTTAGCACACCTAAAAATCCCTTTTTTTTTTTCCCCAGACATAATTTAACACCCACCACATTAAATCACAGAGAGGTAGGGAAGAACATCTGGGCCCCAAATAGCTCATCATATTAGCCAAATGCCAAGCGCTCCCACTGTCTGAGGACATTAGGGGCAGGTGCTGACCAGTGGCTGGGGCTTCCGGCCTCTTCACTTAATTCCTTCCCACTCAAGGAAAAGTCACCTTCACAGGCAGGCTGTGGTCTGGCTTGCCACATCTGAAGCCACAAGAATCTGCCAGCAGCTTCCATCCTGGTTTGTAAAATCCCCTGGAACCTTGAGATAGCCTAGCTCAGAGTCAGGACAGAGCTGGCTTGGAGCGCCACAGGGGTAAAGCCAAGAACGCCAACACTTAGTCCCTCCAAGGTGACAAAGACCTCACTGGACTGTGTCTTTGTCTTTTCAGCCTCAGTGAGTCCACCTGAGTTGGCATCTCTGCCTCCCAGGAAAGCCCAGTGACAAACACAGCACCCAAAGTGCCTTTGTGTATTGCTGCTCAGAGAACCAAGGATAGAGGCGGCTCACTAGGGAAATGGTGCCCAGCAGTCTCCTGAACTAAGCAGGCAGCATTTGCCACAGATGAGAACACCTGCCCCCATGTTCTCCTTCTAAATGCCTGATATATATCCATTTTTCTGTCAGCAACCTCAAATAATGTCTATAATGCTGAGATTTATGCATGTGTACTTATAAATGTTATTTCATTATAGCCTCTGCAAAACTACCTTTCTGCCTAAACATTCAATTAATGTAATTAAATTGCTACCTGATGGCATTATCTAATTTAACTTGGGATCCAAACTATTGAAAAGCATGTGCCTTTTAACACCCTGGCTGGTAAGGCATGTGATGAACAGAGCTATAAACATGTTGGCGTAACTGAGCTGTTTAAAAATAAATTAGCAAACTATAAAAATAAACAGTAACATACATATGTACTCAATTATGAACTAACTCTAATTTTTGTTCTAAAATACTGTCTTTGACCTTAGTCATAAACAAGCACTATTAAAAAAACATAATATCCCCACAGACAGGAGGCCAAGGATTAAATGCTCTTCCAGTTCAGTAGAATGCAAAACAAGACACCAAAAGGAAAAAGAGACAGAAAAGAAAAGAGAAGGAAAATAAAAAAGCGCTTGTCTTTCCTAAAAAGCTGGGAAAATGTGTACAAAACCTACCAAGCCATTGCACTCTCTCGTTGACAAAGTTAAAACCTGGTGAAGTGCTTTTGCATTTTCAAATGTTTTGGAGGCTCTCAAGAAAAGAGGGCAGGCAAGGGGAAGAACTCTTTCCAAATGCAGCTGCTTCAACAGCTCACTGTCTGCATAACAGAGTCTGGGTCCTGCAGGGCCACCTCCCACCTGAACCAAGCTCCCTGTCCTAACTGTGCTGCTGCCTCAAGTCCTGGGCTTTTTCTAAGACCTATGGCAGAAATGTGGAAATTGTCTTTCAGATAGCACAAGACAGAAAACAGGAAGGGAGCGGGTCGAGAAGGAAAAGCAAGCTGTTGAAACTGTCCAAGGGCCATGTCTTCACACTAACCTGACGCTCCTATAACAAAGGACAGCAGACTATGGGATAATTACTATGGATTATAATTACAACAACAAATTCCACAAAAGAC